TTTTCGTCAGAAAACAAAATTATATGTATATAATATAGAGATGTTGCCATTAATTGCTTTTACAATATACTAGGAATGTTGAAATAAATTTAATAACCAATAATAGGTTATAAGTGAGAGTTTTCTTCTAATATTTCATGATTGAAATAGTTTTACTTGACTACATCTTCCAAATTATGTAGACTCAGCACTAGTGCACATGTCCTGTATTGCATATACATGTATACATGTCATATCCGGTTCCATTATGCTCTTGATAGGGGCGATAGTGAAAGGAAAGATATATTAAATAGACAAGACAGCTTGATTTGTACTAGAGAGGCTGACACAATTTACACCGAAACACTTGATACATGTGTTTGTTTTAATAATTGAGTAAGCACGTGGGATGTTGATACAGTTGTCATGTTTTATTTAATTCAAACACCTATTGTGTGATCATATGTTATTATCTAATTTGTATCACCGTTTACCTGAGGTATCAATGTCCTCTAGAATAATGACTGTCCCTCACTACAGAGCACGTGCGCGCGAGATAATTAAATATTGGCACGAAAAATGGTTCTTAAGTATTTACAGGAAACGGAAGTTAGTTTAAGCTAGGCCAATGAACCTGTTTCTAAATTTCAACAATTGAACATAATTACTTTACGGCAGTAAAATAAACAGATATTATAATAGGGTAATTTTCAACGTAATTGACAGTAAATAGATTTTTCAACAGTGCATTTATTATTATCATCACATATGTTTCATCTTGTTTGTTTTTTCTCTCTCATTTTTTCTAGCCGTAGTTTCGATTAAGAGAAGTTAAATAATCCAAGTGTTGAAACAATTAAAGTTGTTTGAGAAAAAGATCAGCCTTTGAGGTGAATATCAGTAAATATATATGTACTTGTATGATTGAGAAACGTAACTATTCGGTGTATGATTTATTCACATTCTATATAGAATTTGAGATGAAGGTTCGAAACTCTAAATGATTTAAAATGATATCACTGTATACATGTACCATTGGATAAATATTTTAATGATGTTTCGTGTAAAATAATGCAATGTCTTATTTCTCACGTAGGCCATTTATATTATCATCACACGTTTTCTAGACATGATTAACAATTTTATAAGAAAAATGAAATTCAAATCGGTATATAAAAGAGTTCTAAGTTTACAAATATTTAAGTTTATCTAAATGAAAACACTAAAATCTCAAGATAAGACCATTCACTTTTTTTTCATTCAAAAGCAAATACTACAATTACATGTAAATGATTAAGACGGAAAGAAAAATGTACTTCAGAATTTAAAATTTATTTGCATGATATTTGGACATGAAAACAGGAACCACCATCGAGCTCGTTTAAAGGTTTTCTGTCCTTAATTTATTCTTATTGATTTCAGGTCGTTCCAATGGTAGGTAATTCCAAATTGCAGATAAGTCTGTTGTATGTTTTTTTCTTCATTTATTTTATTCTTTGCCACAATTAAAAATTTCATGAATTCCCTCAAACATTTATGTTTCATGTTTTTCAGTTGAAGTAAAGTGACTGAAATTTGTTTAAAAATATGCCATTTCTTTAAATGAACAATGACACAGGTTGATGTTTAGAAATAATGATAATAATAATAATAATAATAATAATAATAATAATAATAATAATAATAATAATAATAATAATAATAATAATAATAATAATAATAATAATAATGATGATAATAATAATAATAATAATAATAATAATAATAATAATAATAATAATAATAATAATAATAATAATAATAATAATAATAATAATAATAATAATAATAATAATTATAATTATACATCTGTAATGATAATAAAAGACAAAAGGAGAGTAATTTGACTGTGAATTACCTGCCCCTGGATTCCTGAAATAACTAAATACCCTGTAGTTTCACTTGAGAAGCATATAGTGCCAGCTAAAAATAAAGAATATTAAAGATTAATATGTCTGCAAAAACTAAAAGAATATGTATTATGTCAGTTTCTTATATATGAGGTAAGTGAAAGTATTTGCCAATAAACAAGGAAAAGACATTACTTTTTGACTTTAAACAACCGCTTGCATGATTCCAATATCGGAATGCTAATATTTTGGAAATGTATTTTAGAAAATTATTTAGACAAACTTATCCATTCTTTATTGAAAAAAGAGAAATAATTAAAACTAAGTATAAAATGTATGTGGTTATGTACGAATACAGTGTTTTTGTTGTGCTGTTTATGCTCAGGTTTGTCTTAACTTATAATATATACAAGTTATGAGTATTATATTTTAATGTGCGAGGTTTCAAATATCAATTAAACAGCACAACTTTGAAACGTCTTCTTTAATTAACTCGTAAACTGATCAATATCCCATTGCCGTTATATTACCTACTTCAAAGTCCAGACGTCTGGATGCAAAATTATCGGAAAAATACATTAATATGTGTACTTTAACCTACATCAGCCAGACAGGAACATTGAAATACGAGAAAAAAAAACAAGAAAAAATGATAGATCATGTATAATGTTTTATTCTCAATATGTTCAATATCTTTAGGTGATTCAGAATTATTAGCGGAACGCCGGCGTAGTAATTCCAATGAACCGAGAAGCGCCCTCTGTATAAAAAAGTAAACCACAAAGTTGAATATATTCAAATTTGGAAATCAGATAAAAATGAATCAAGCGCAGACGATGAGACAGTGAGATTAATTTACCGACGAATGATTTCGAAAATGATCGCTGTGGTCTTGAATCATTATTTATTCCAATAACGATGATACTTTTTCAAAAGATTTGTATCGGGTAACGTTATATACCGTAACATGCAAAGAACAATTCAGTTGAAACTGCATTGTCATTCTATGGCTGCAAATTTATTACAACGTCTATATCGGATGCCCTAAATTGCTATCGATTTTATTTTTTTATTATTCATTTAAGTACCACAACCTTACATTTCACAATACATATCTTTTATCATATTATCTTATTGTAATATATGAATAGTCTATAAGCATAATTGTTTTCTTTAATTGTTTTTCAAAATGTGGTAGCACGTATTAAGCTTGGTTGCTATTCTGTCGTATTGCAGTGTCATGATGCCGATGATGACGATGATGACGACGACGAGTCGACGGTGAGGGAGTTAATGATGTTGATGATGATAAGTGTGATGATAATGATGCCGATGATCATAATAATAATGATGATGATGAAGATGATGATAATGATGATTGATGGTGATGATGACGATGGTCTTAATAATGATGATGATATTGATTATGATGATTATGATGATTATGATGATAACGGTGATGATGTTGTTGATGTTGATGTTGATGTTGATGATGATGATGGTGATGATGATGATGATGATGATGATGATGATGATGATGATGATGATGATGATGGTGATGTTGATGAATGGTTCGTTGGCGGATGATAGTTTAAATGTCTTTTCAAATATACTTTATGAACTTCAAGCAATATTTTTTACCTCGCTGTGCAACATCGCGGAATGATTGAGAGTCCCCTGTGAAGTGTTTTATGGGGATTATTGTTGCTTTTGTTCACCATTTCATAAACGAATATACGGTACTTAACGAAATAACGTTAATTCTCTCATGGACAGTCACAATCACGTAGGAATAAGATTTAATCTACAGATAAGACGAACGAAACCCAGTACAGATAACTTAATAATGGTTTAATGATAAAATCATTACATGAAATGGCGTGATTATTCATTTAAGAAATGCCGGGCAGCACAAATTAATAGTGGTCAACAAACTTTGAAAGCATTTGATATCAGTTATAACATCTCCGGAGGTGCCAAGAATACCAATCAAGTTGACCACAGTCAATGACCACAATTTCACCTAGTGGTCGTCTTCTCGAACAAGTACACCAAAAACAACTTAATATGCTTTTTTAATGAATAAACAAATGGGAATAAAGTAAGGTTTAGAAAAACAAGTTAATACTCAGCATTAAAGCAACATAAAAAATGTTTTTATAATGCACCTTTTAAGGTTTATATTTCTATATTTATATCTTTTTTTCTTATTCGATAATGCGAGGTATTAAAGTCATTTATACCAATCTGGTTGTTTATGATCTGCATGTGGTGATTATGCCGATGGTTAGACCATGACGAACGGAATTTGGAGACATTACCTTTTTAGTCATAAATACAACATGCTAGCCTTTTTATTTATTATGACGCCGGCTTTTTCAAAAAATCGCACGGTACCAAAAATACCCTGGTACAGTAGTCTATAGTCCTTGGTGGGAATTATTTGGCATTTCTGACGTGTTTCGTGATAGAACCACGTAGTAAATAGACAGGTAATTTGAAAATCAAATATTTTTATTAAGGATTTAACATACAAATATAGAACCCCGCCCCTTCCGTGTTAAAATTTTAGGTCGTATATCTGCACCGTTTCGTATTTTCACCATTTCGGTAAAAGATAAACCTGACAATTCCGCGATAAAGATATCCGTAAAATGCGCTATTTAAGCCAATATTTAATAAGTTCTATTGACTGACTTTAAATACATAGTCGACATGTGTCTATATTGAAATAAGTAACTGGATCTGTGAGATTAGCCGCTTGACCCTAAGTGACCGCTGACATGAACTTAAATGACTATTAGCGACATCAACCATTGTGTCTATTTTCCCATTAGTAAATGTATATATACATGTAAATATAATCATATGAGCATTTCCTTGTGGTATTGAAATCTTAAAATTGATCGTGTTCCGGATCAGTTTGGCAAGGCGGGGACTTAATGACGACAGTTTAGTTAGCTGAATTTATGCTGGTCAATATTTTAAATTAACAAACATTTCAGTGGACTATTATATTTCTTATTTAAGTAGATTTTTAAAAGAAATGCTAAAATGAAATGGGAAATGGGAACTTATTATAAAAATTACGCCAAAAAGAAAATTCAACAAATAAGAAATTTAAAGACAATATAGATTTATTTATGTTTATTGTAATTTTCATTCGAACATATATCCAAATGCAGTAATCCCAAACATAACTGTACAATGAGACAAAAATAAACCAAAAATAAGACAAAGGAAAACTTATAAAAATGTTGAGTGTGAACAATATTCATAAAAAATAACAAGTAAAATTAAACAACAAAAATAGTTCTCTTGGTGAAGAGATGTCAGGATTTTTTAGTGTATTTATACACGTAGAAAAAAAACTATTCTGTTCACTTGGCTATTATCATAAGTTTTCTTTCATCTTAACAACAAAAATATAGTATCAGTTAAGATTAAAATTTAATGAGCGTCAAAACAAAATCTTTCCCAAACAACAACAATTACTACTCAATAAACATATATATGTGTAAGACGAATAAAATCCTCTTTTTCAAAATATAAGATGTAAGATAGTTTTTGTATCAGATTTATTTTAGCAGTCTTGTTTATCAAAATTATACATGAATTGTATTATATCGTCATGTTATTGGTTGGGAAAGACTTTTATCTAGATTGAGATTCGAATTTCGTCGGTAAATGAAAAAAAATGATACGATGAAATTAACAAATTTAAAATTGAAATTTTAAAGCGTATTTTTTTACAAGCATCTTAAGTAATGCCCATAAAATTACTCTAAAATGTTTCAGGCACAATAAAGTAATCAAAATTAGTCATTCTTTATAAGATGTAAGTACAAATGTATTGATTAAAATTACCATAAATAACCAAATAATAGAACAACCCCTCAACGATTGTTTGTGTTTAATAAAACAAAAAAGTAAATAATAATTAAAAAAAAAACTTTAAAAAAATGGAGTTACTTTGATGAGAACAATATTCCATTTATGTTTCATAATTCATGTACATAATTTTCAAAATAGTTTCAAAATTTAAATAAAACTAAAAGATAAAATAGGTCTGAAAAAAAAGAAGTATTTATTCCTGGAGACAAACACATAAAAGGCAAAAAGAAATATATAAAAAAAATACCTTTATTCTATTGATATAATTTTTCTCCTTATACAATGTAAAATTCATTATCCAACATTTTTGTTATAAACACTTGTACTTTCGCTAAGAGTTTTGAGCATGTGCATGCATTAGAATAAAAAGATAACTTTTTTAAAAGTACACGCGAGGGAGCGGCCGTGGTTTACGGATGATGCCGTTATGTTTACCCGAAATTTCTCTAACAAAGAAAATATATAAGTACACTTATACTAATAAACAATAATGGTGATATTTTATGATGATTCTAACATACTTCTATCCCATTGAACACAATAGATTGATTTTTTCTGCTTTTTGACACAAAGTAGCAGATGTTTAATTGTAAAAAAATAAACTAACCTAAAATACTGACAGATAGTCTTGAGTGTTGAATCTATTGAGAATGATATAAAAGGAAAGAAGGTACCATTATTGTGCACTAAATTATGGATAAGATCCACGGTGTTTCTCTTTGAGCATATAGACAGTGCTTCCAGAACTAAGTTCATGGTAAACCACCTTAATTTTTATAGGTAAATAACAGAATCTAAATACCATAACATCTATTTTCGATCTGCTAAAACCACTACAGTCCTTTTTTGACGGATCTACACATGTGAAACTTAATTTGCAGAACTGCTCTCCCCATATCAAATCAAAGTGCAATACATTTGTTAAAAGTAGAAGTTAATTATTTTAACTTAAACAATTAATGTTGGTTATTTATCTCTAAACAATTTTATAACTAACTGTTTTGTTTGGGTGAAAAATTGTAATGTTCTTTTTTTATTTTCGGATAATGGACATTGCACAATAAACCACAGACAATGTTCTGTTTTTTTAACTTCTGTTTAAATATACAATATAAATCTAACACGTAATTTCAGGTTATCTTTCCCTATATATATATCATTTTATCACATAACGTTTAATATTGGGAAACCAGCGGGCTCGTGAAAAAAAATAAACACAAAAAAAAACAAGAGGGCGTATTTACTACGTCGATTTTTTCTATTGGTTATTAAATTCAAAATGGTTTAATATTGAAGTTCTTTATCTCAAATTTGTGTCATTCAAATGCGGACCAATGGCAGAACGCCGAGATAATGATTACAATATGTACGACGTAGTTTAAAATCAACCAAATACAGACCTAATTATCAATTTTACCGACAACCTTTCAGGTTTAAGAAGTGCGTAATAATTTAAGTGACAAACGCAAGTCACTGATATGTCACCGTAAAGGGGGCGCGAAAATTTCCGTCCTACTTGAAAAAAAAGAGTAAAGATAAGAAATTACGCAATGATTTTGGTATAAACTAGAACCAGGAAATTTTACCAGTAATGATGAAAAACCTGAAGAAAACATGTATTTACTCTTTTTTAAAGTCTTTCGATTAATGTTCATGTTAATCCGTCTCATAGACAAGACCGCGGGTTTTTTTCATCTGTACAAAAATGAGCATGTTAACGCTTTTTTTTTCGTCGAATGTCGGTGTAAAACCGTAACGATTTTTGCACACGCCCCGTATGTTTGATCTAAAGCCAAATGAATCAGGGAAGGATATGTCGCCATGATTGAATTGAACAATTACAAATAAACAATACAATAATATGATAACATGATAACTTGGTTACAAACAAGATGATTATACATAAAACAAAAACAAAAAATGATATAAAAAGAACTAATTGAAGTCATTCGAACATCAAGTAATTAACACCTGCATTATAAAACCATAAAATAGTGTACGTGATTTTGTTTAAGTCCCAAGCATTTAGTGTTTTTTCCATAACTTAAAAAATATGAAATAAAAAAAATTGCAAAAGAATCACAAAAGGCACATTACAATATGAGCCGCATCATGACAAAACCAACATAATGGGTTTGCGACCAGCATGGATCCAGACCAACCTGCGCATCCGCGCAGTCTGATCAGGATCCATGCTGGTCGCAAACCCATTATGTTGGTTTTGTCGTGACGCGGCTCATATGTACATGTATATCTCTATACCTCTAGGGAAGAGGACACTAATTTTGTTTAAATACTAATAAAAAAAAATCCCCCAAATATATTAGTTTTCTTAAGTTTCCTCTTAAACTGCAGGTTATAATCACGTGATGCTGAACTATTCTATCAAGCACTGATGAATCATTATTGAGATCATTCATCGAAAACTGATTGTCCCCACAAAACACAAGAGGACGAACACCACAAATACTGAAGGTTAGGAGTGACGTCTGCTTCTAGAAAATACATGTTTTATAATTCGGTTTCCTTCGGTTATTACCCATCAGCGTTCAATAGTCTACATTTTAAGTTCAGCCAATTTTTTCTACGTTTAATCTCTTTTTTTTTTTAAAAAAAAGAAGAAAAATTGCATAAAAGATTGTACATGGTTGAAATTATAGTCACCGGCTAATGTACATGTATGTAATACATCTTTTCACAACGCTTGTTTTTTGCTTTTATGAAAAACCCCACACACTTCAAAACTAAAAGTCTGTCATCGAATGCTGCTGATTGGACGGAAACCATGCTTAGAATTGATATCTAGATATAAAATACATGTTGTTTTTCATTTCTGATATAAAATGTTGCTTAAATTATCATTTGCTAATGTTTCTGCACCAAAACTAAATAATCACTTGTTTACACAATTTTGAACATTGTTCCAAAGTCTGTTTATTTAAAATTGCGAAACTATTAATTTCCTTGATTAACTAAGCCGCCATTTTTACAAATACAGTATTAACTGAGTAACAAAAAGCAGCAAACTGTACCTTTTCTGTACAGTCTTTCCCTCCATTTATATCATAGAACAAGCGGGGATTTAGCACAAAACATGTCCTAAAGTTTAACACTCATGTATAACTTACACTTAGGTCCATAACATTAAATATTCACTATATTCCGAACGTCTATCTTCGTTCTTTTGGCAAATTATCAAGGTCCTTTATCTTCCTTGTAAAAGTTTGATCAGTATATGATATGGAGTCTATGTCAACATGTACATGAAACTTTTCTTTCTATGATTTAAATGTCATAGAATTTTTAAACTCTCCTCATCAAAACAGAATTCAGATATCGACTGTCGTCCTAAGGCTACATCCGGTGAAATTGGCTGAAAATCTGGGAAGTCGTCTGGAAGTTGTATTTCCGGTAATTCCTCTGCGGGAGCGGTGCACGTGGGAAATGTTTTAATGTTTTGAGGTAACAGCATATCGGGCAGACCAGGATACATGAGAAAGTCTTGGTCTTGGATGGCAGGTGCGTATTCATCAAATGGGTCTTCCATGGGTGTAGCGGTATCTCTTTGAGGGTAAGGATTTTCGTTTGGTATACCAGGAGTGGGGCACGTGTATGGACCATTACTAAAGAAAGTGGTAGTATCCTCATATGAGGGTGAAGGTGTGACGGCACGTGCGCACGTGAATGCATGGTCTCGCAGAACTCTTTGTAGTCTCTCTTTTTCCTTTCTCAGTTGTTCAATTTCAGCCGACAGGATATTTGTTTTCTTCTGCTCATTGATGTAATCCTATAATTAAATAATCATCCACTAATTAATAAGTCATAGGCAAAATCGTTCAATCTACAACTTTTGCGTCAAATAAAGAGGATACCTGTCAGTACTTTGATCGATCCGGCATCAAAACTTATTTGAAAGTGGCCAGGAACCTTTGATACCTCGAGGTGATATTTTATTGCACCATGACGTAATTTGGTGGTCAGTATGGCGGGAAATGTAAACCCTAATAATTTAAAGTTGTTAAATCCAACAGGCTTTATCAATCAAACTCAAGTTTCGAAGTGGTTTATTATAATATTTATTGTTTTGAGTCTTATTTAAATAGAAGATGATCAAATCATTTACTTGCCAATTAGATAATGCGCATTTACGTGGATGTAAAATTTTGATTTTATACATATATCTGTATATAAAACCAGTTTCCCAATGTGTTTGGAGGACATATTCGGAAACATTCAAAATAGAAAACAATAGATGTAATCTATGAATTTAAAATGAATTCGTTCCATGAATCCAGAGATAATTTTCGATAACCTTAGGATCATTATTTCATTCTGTTGGAATTTTAAGAAATAAACTTTACAATATATAAGAAATTTAATCATTTTTTTTAATTCACATAGATTTATGATAACCGATCTGATCTGGCTTATAACATGAAAGACCGGTGCTGATTTATTTTTTTTATCTACGGTAATATATTTTTGAAAACTTCTTTATTCTTGTATGCATATAACATGAATGACATTAAAACTATATAAAAAAAGACAACATAACTATTCTTACAATGGCAAGTTGCTCGTTCAGGTATTTTTTCTTTACTCTACATCTCTCGGCCGCTCGACGGTTCTGTTCCTTCCTTCTCAACTTTTTCTTCACTTCGTCCTCTGTCAGCTCCTAAAATATTGTAATATTTTTTTTTTAACTTTAAAAGAATGAAATAAGGACTTTAAAGTCCGTTCCCCGTCAATGGACACTTCCCAAAGCGTGCTTTTATATCTTCTCTCACTTTTTTATTTAAACTTTGTTTTAACCAGGCTTTAGTAATAATACAATGGATAGTATCAAAAATATATCCGAATTTAGCGCGAAAAATACATAAATGAGACACAGTATCTGTAATAAATAAGAAAATGAATAAATAAATTTTGTATTATTCTGCCCAAAACCTTCACTAAATATATATTTCAAGAAACACTGCCGCTACTTAAGTTATATATCTTACTTTTTTACATCTAAGTTCTTGAAAAACATCTGTAGATTCTACAAGTAGCAAAATAACAGGTGTTAAAAGAGAAAATATAACCTCAAATATTCGTGGTTTAAGGTGCCGTTAACTGCATCTTCAATTAGAAAAGATGTGTCATCTTCAAACGACAGCATCAATTCTATTATTTCTCGTTACTTAACATATTAAACCTTTCCTTGCTAAATATCCTAAATATATAGATTTGTTCATCATTCAATCGTGAATGAATAGCGAACAGTGCACACCATGATTAAACGGCACAGGCGTGCCGGCTGATCTTGGGCTGTACTGGGTGCATGGATTGCCACCAGCAGTCAAAGGGTTAATAAAGTACAAGTTCAAGTCTTTTTGCACCTTGTCCGAAAAAAAGATATATCCGAAAATCACTTTAGTGATATTGATAAAAAAGCAAAAAAAAAAAATTGTTTTTTTCCAGCGGATATAATTAATTACTTTATAGGCTAAATCAAGATCATGTAGATATTATAGATTTTATAACTTAAATAATATTATTGATTGTAACTTTCAGGATTGTGAAATCGATGAAATCGATGAAATCGCAATTTTAAAATAATTTTCCAGAATAATTGAATTTATTCATAAGAAAATGACCAAATTGTCAACGAAATTCTAAAATAACAAAATAACTTGAAAGCTTTCGAGTTTAACCAATTAACGCGAAGCTTTTCGTAGTCCTATCCAAATTTAAAATACCAGAGAATAATTATTTTAATGTAGGTTGATAATTCAATATGTTTTACACCTTCATTAACATAAAACTATTTTGGACACACTTTTTGTATTTACAATAATAAGTAAAATATGTGTTACTGAAAACATGGCGCATAAGTAATTGAAATATTTTATTTTTCCTGTTAATACGAAAAAAATAAGATAAATAAGACCCCCCCCCCAAAAAAAAAAAAAATAAAATAAAAAAAAATCTATAATTAAAAAATAGATAAAATAATAAAAACCCAACAACAAGAACAAAACACAAAACTTTTACAGAAAATAAAAAAAAGGTCTTACCCTTTTTATAACTGGTTTCTTCTCGTCAAAATTTATCTCCCCCTTTCCTTCTTTACATCTTCTATTAAGAATGGTCAGTTTCAATTCCTCTTTTAGTATCGGCATTATAGACTGACTGTTTTTCGAAGCCTCGTAGGCTAATTTCACACTAGGGTCAAGATCGTAACTTCCAAGATTACTGTCCATTTTCTACAATACAAAGGTAAAAAAACTTATTTAACCCTGACTTTGTTAAACGGATTTGACCGTCTTCCATGTTAGAAACTGTGAAGATGAAAAGTTAAAGTTAGCTAACAGTACAGAGCATGGTCAGACTATGTGCAGGTTGGCCTGGCTGTATACTAGTGGCAAATACTGCTCACTTTCGGTGGAAGCAGGTTAAATGTTTGATGTACTATACTGACAATAGATGTGACGTGCACAATACAAGGTTGATCAATACACAGTATCTTACTCTTGTAACGCGGTGAAATAAATAAAATAACAGAGCGTATTATCTAGATTACAATCTTTGAGTTTATTTCCGCATTTTAAAAACACTACGTCATAATAAAATGTATTGACTAAAACATAATCATTAGAATCATATTTCTTATTTAAATAATAAATCGGTTATCTCTTTTTAAACGATCTATCTAAAAATGTATAATTAAAACTATAATTCCTTTCAAACTTCTTTAATTTTCTATAAATATCAACTCACTAAAATATTAATAAACTTAAGCTATCCAGTAACCTGCATTTTTAAAACCGACAGAAAATAAACACATACTTATTTCCTTACAAAGTAAAATCCAATAATTTTCCTTTTTTTAAATTGATAGTTATTTTTTTTATTTCAGTTCAGCCTCGATATGTGTACTGTATTAGACTATTAAGTTAACTGATACACGACCGGTAAAATATACAATATTTATATACATATTGGTAAAGATATAACCGATTTAAACAATAAATAACAACTAGGTCTTTGAACCTCTGGTTTTCATCAATTTATTGTGGAGTACTTATTGAAAGTTACCCAATAATAACATTACGTGAAGGATTGACCATAATTATGCCAGGGCGAATGACCGGCTGGACGAAATCGCATCCATAATGGTCAAGCTATTCTAGTCGCCAATACAATGTCCTTGTTAAACATCCAGGGAAATAGTCCGTTCTTTTTCAGGTGTGCATGAAACACAGCGCTGAGTCAGACCGGCTTATAACAGGTGTGGGTAAAAGCGGCACGCATTCCGCATGTTTGACACTTAACTTACATGTTATTTAATTAAGTTTGATTAATATTAAGTAAGTCGATTTTGAGAAATGATTTTACGAAGTCTTAAAACATTATGATGCCATCGAATTATTTTAATCTGAAACTATCCGTGTTTGATTGACAACTATTTGTCCATTGTTTTCCGATGTTATTTCTTAACAAATTGTTTTATACACATAGTAGTCGTACAACAACCACAAGGACACGAAGGATATGGTTCTTGAAAAAAAAACAAAAAAAAAACAACAACAACAACAACAACAAAAAACAGCAACAACAACAGCGATCGCTGCGCCGGGATTTTACTAAATGGTGATCAAACAGACATCTTTTATCTCAGACTTTAAAGTCAATGAATTATTAATTAAACGGGTATTTTTACATTTACAATGTATATATGTTTCCCATCATTTCTATTAAAATATTCTAGAAAAATTATACATCTTTATACCTGGTTAATTAACTCTCTAATATACCATTGATTAAATTATAATGATAACATAATAATTCAATCAGTTAATTCCAAGTATATATAACTTTTTGTATCCTCTAAAATTAAAGAGGGTATACACAAATTTCTCACAATCAAAAGCCAATTACAGATATTCATCCGCCCGCTTTCCACTTACACTTGTGGTATAAGGAAGCTGGCCAAAATTCTTTACCTACCCACAAAACTAGTGTTCAATACTTCAGTATTATTACTAATCAGTACAGAAAAGCAACAAACAAAGCAGAAAAGTAAAGCGTGTCTAGGAATATTGAGCTTTATAGGCTATCATATACAATAACTAATACATGACGGACACATTGACTTCTTGTTGAATATGTTAAATTGAACTTTATCACCTTTCGGACGATTAAATTCACAGATGTTACAAATGAACGTCTTAAGTTTCCAGACAGATATATATTATTTCAGTTCAATAGCACGTTCACCGTTTCTAAGCATACACATCTTGACAATGTCATGATTTTAGAGAACGATTGTCTCCCTAAAATATGCATGTACATTATGCAATAAAGGCATTAGTAATTTTATTATTATAAAGTTATAACTTATCACTCTTTATTACATGCGTTTTTTTACATGACAGTTCAAACTAATGCATGTAGTGTAGCGCGCCTGATAATATTATATCGATCAGTTGACAAAGGCTATTGCGCAAAACAAACTTCAATGACCTAGATTTTGTATTTCGATCAGCTGTTTTATATCAACAAAAGCACATGGCGTTCACCGGGAAGATATATCTTTTTATTTAAAGTTCAATTTGCTTGATTTATATTTTCTCTAATATTTTCACTCTTTTAAAATCGTCAATACTTATTTACATCTTTTTCTAGGTGAAAAGTGCACACGAACTTTTTTGTTGTGGTTGTAACTTAAGATGGTCTGATACTCTAAAAAGCTTCTAAAACCACAAAATCCAACCGCAGAAAATGATTAATTGATGAAGCAAACCACCTCAACTGGGCAAGAGTACGTTTCCATGACTACAATCGTATTTTAAACTTATTTACATCACTGTCAACTCGATCGTTTTGCTGGTGCAAAATGCATAAAAGTGAAAAATAAAGGATGTTGATTTATAAGATAGACTAAAATCCAAAAGTTGTAAAGTAACAAAAATCACTTATGGCTTAGGAAATGCACGAGTGCTCGTGCAACCACTATTCTTTTTACAATCCGCAATGTTGTCACAAAAATGAAGAGCTTGCAGAAACAGAACTACCGACCTTTTTAACATTATTTTGCTAGCTCATGGTATAACATCGCAGACAAGATCCGTGCCAAAAAGTGACTCACTCCCACCAGACTAGCGGATTCAAACAAAAAAAAAATCAGGGGAAAAATGCACAAAGAACTTACGTAAATCGCCAAAAATTAATAGTTTTCCAATATTTCTTGCGTTGCTATACACTAAAACACTGTTAACTGGATGTCTAATTACAGAAGATAACGCAAAAAATGTTTTTGATAATTAAATTATCACATTATAAGTGATTCATCTCAGCCAAGCTCCGTGCTTCACCGCAAAATGTTTCAATGTACAACTTTGTGGTCACTTTTATACATGTTCATAGCGCCAAGTTTAAATTTAAAATCCAAAACAAAAACTTGCATGCGTCTTTGTTGACAGTCGATTTTGATTTAATTTAAAATTTATCAAGTCATAACATGCCCAATATCATCACACGTGAGTAGGCGGAGTAACTTATCAGCGATGAATATTCATGACCAATTAGATTAGATTTTATATACTATCGCGAGACGGGAACTGGTATACGCTTTCTGACTGGCTACTGTATCTTCTATTATTATATAGGAGACATAGAAACAGTATATACATACAATAATGATAGCGGATCAATTTTCCTATTATGACACACGCCAAAAAGTAAATCTATAATGCAATAGGTTACAAATAAATATAAATAAACCTTTCACAGACTTATGAAACGTATACGCTTTGAATGCTGTTAAATATATCACAAGAAGTGAAAAACGCACATAGACATTGAAAAGCAAAGAAAGCACCCAGACATTAAAAATCAGACATTAAAAAATCTACATATCCAATATCTGGGTTAACATTTAAATTCTGAGATTCATATGCTTTGCTCTAGATAGCATTTTACGACTTTACTCAGTTTAGACTCAGGGTAATTCGGACCTTCTGACATATAACTGTTTCTTTTTTAAGAGCAAAATACCGCGATCTGTAATTCCATAGCAACAGAAAATCGCGCGGGATGCTGCGTTATGGAATCTGATTAGAGTTGCTATGCACGTGAATGAATATTGAAAATAGTGCGCGTGCTCCGCAGACGAACATTTTGCTACTTGAGATGATGAAAAATAAATGAATGTCATGTAAATGTGACGATCTGAAATTGCGCATTTTGTTTTGAATAAAATTGTCTAAATTAGGCCAAACAGTAGATAAACTGCATTCTGCAGACGGTAGCTTTGATGTCTGACGTCATCGATATTTTTAATTTCTTAAGACTGTATGGGTCTTTCCCTGTGTATCGTCTGTTTCAAAAATCGTTTCAATCACAATATGTCAAAAAGTTTTCGCTCGGGCGCTTCGCAAATTTGAGAGTAGCCACAGGCAGTAAATTTACGCACGAAAACTGCCAAAAAACGGTGTTTTATTGTAGTCATTAACATATGAACTGATGTTGCGGTAACAACATCCAAATTATCGATGACTCAGTATCAGTTACTGTCCTTTAAGTCTTTTTTGTAGTTCACAGGTTGATCGAAATGTAGAAATTCTGCTTGCGCCCTTGAGAGCACTTTGGAGGTTGCAACGGGGGCTTGTAAATTAAGATGAAAGTAGTTCATACGCGACATGATGTACAGTTCATATATCACAATTAAGGATTTAGATGAGTTACAAAGAGCTAGCATCTGGCTTTACTGTATGATTTGAACAGCTGATTGATAGCGGTTTTCGGGCCAACTGTTGATCATACAAAAAAGGGACGCCGGGTTCGATTTTGATTCCTAATTTTCGTGAGATTGTTTTCAATTAATTTATTAAGTGGATCTTTGTAGTACGAGAATGGAGTAGTTATTATAATAAAGGTTAAAACCTTTGTTACGAGAAAACTAAGCTACATCCGACATGTAACTGTAACACACTTATCGCGGTCAGACTATCACCAGTCACGCAAATTCACGAGCGCGCGCAGCAAATCTTTAAAGAGGCAGTATTTATTTCTAGATTTACTTCTCCGACGATATTCATGAGCGGCCTTGAAATATGTAAATAGATATAGTTAATCACTAGGCGCAAAAACCACAAATTACTCATATCACCCTATGAGGTCAAACCTAGTGACCCACTACTTGAGGTCAAAAACAACTGCGCCACTGCAGAAATAAAGACACACTTAACAAATCAATATTAACAAGACTGATATGTAATAACGAGCTGTTTAAACATTAAGACTTGTGTGAAAAGGTCCTATATTTTGATCGATTTACAGTATAATTATTTCTATATCAGGCTTTCCGGGCAGACGCACTTTTCAGTTTTACGTATGAGTAGAAATGGACAAAGGAACGCGCGCAGACGACCGAAATGAACTATTTTTTCTGTGATGAAGTTCAAGAGTTATGAGGTACACTAGACTTATAACAGAAGTAGTAAAATACAGACAGAAGCGACAATAAGATATCCAGTTAATAAACTAATGATTTGTTATATGTAACGCCAATAAGTCTAGACTTTATTAATATCACACAGTCATATAACGCCTCGATCTATAAAAATGTTTAAAACAAAGACCAACATACAAAAAAGATGTAAATTAAGTTTAATCCTGCGATATACACCAATATATCCATCTCTGAGATTTCTTTTTTTTATTTATAAATAAATAAAATCAAAATCGATTTCATAAATTTATGTTTCCTGTTACGCCAGCAGACGACCTTTCTTTTTAGTTTTAAATTTGACGTTCATTGTCTTTATATTAGGTAGAAATATAAATTTCAATCATAAAAAGAAATATAATTATTATTTCCCGATGTCATGTATTATAATATATTGTATTAAAACGATCATTTTTACTTGTCTTACCTTGCGTGGTTTAACAGACTGTTTTAAAACATTAGAACTCGTGTATGCATGACATCTCGTTGTGAAATGTATATTTGAATTTACTTTAATAATATTTATTTTTAATACCCTGTTTAGTTCATGGTCATAGCCACGCGCATAAACATTACAATGCGCACGCGCGGAAAATGATTTTTATCTAACTGCGCATTATAGTACTATACTTCCTTATATGGAAACAAAACACGGCGCAGTGATCTATTTATTGAACAGTGTAAAAAAACGTTCGGTTAAATTGCGCATTAAAACTATACCATGCAACCTGCAAAAGTTAACTGAGGACACTGGTTTATATTAAACAAGTAGCACGCAGAAAACATGGGGGCGAGAGTATAAAAAAAAGAAGAAAAAATTAAACCCTTACCACCAGCATGGAGCTATGCCAACCTGCCGGCTAGGCTGCTTAATTAAAATATCTAAATTTTGATGTTGAAATTACTTTAACTTCGAATGGACTGCTCTAAATTCAACATAAGGCAAACCCATTGCAATCAAGACGCATAAGACCTTCAAAATAGTAGCAGAAGCGGCAACTCGTCCTC